AAACTGAGGGTTCTAGAGGGGAGAGGGGTGGGAGGATGGGTTAGCCTGGTGGTGGGTATTGAGGAGGGCACATTCTGCATGGAGCACTGTGTGTTAGGCACAAACAATGAATCATGGAACACTACATCTAAAACTAATGATGTAATGTATGGGGATTAACATAAGAATTAAAAAAAAAAAAAAGAAGAAGAAAAGGCCATGTAGGGGAAGATGGTGGTCAAAAGGTACAAATTTCTACTTAAAAGATCAATAAGTACTAGGTGTGTAACGTACAACATGATGGTTATAATTAACATTGCTGTATGATATATAGAAAACTTAAGAGGGTAGATCCTAAGAGTTCTCATCACAAAAAGGATTTTTTTCTTTTCTTTTTATTTTATCTACATGAGATGATAGATGTTAACTAAACCTACTGTAGTAATAATTTCACAATATGTGTGAATCAAACCATCATGCTATGTAACTTAAACTTATACAGGAACGCATGTATGTCAATTATTTCTCAATAAAAAAAGAAGAAAAGGCCAATTTATAGGGTCAGACCTATAACTCCAGTAAAGCTCAGAAACTGGAGAAACCTATATGAAAGAAGCTGAGACGATACTGAAACAGAGCAATAGATTCAAAGTCTATATAAGGAGCAGACAGAACTCTCATTTCTATTGCTCAGCCCACACAAACACGCAACTGTTCTGCCCCCAACTCAGAAGAAAACAAGAGGAAAAAATAAACCAGAGAGCCTTTGGACTAAGAGACATTAGGCAGCTTACCAAAAACAGGAAGATTAACTAAAGTATAACTCTTAGAACACTCAACCTACTTTCCCTATCAATTCTCGTAACATAACAGAGTAGTCAACCAAACACAGGACAAGTTAAATCTGAATTTCAGATAAAAAATAATTTTTAGTGTATGTGTGTCCCAAATATCACATGCAAAATTTAACTGGTGTCCTACATTTTTATTTGCTATGTCTGGCAACCCCATCTTCAGACTAGAGAATAGAGAATTCCTTTTTGGGGAACCTGACTAGCCTAGGGAAGGAAGTTAAAGATATTAACATTAAGGAGTTCTCAATGAAATCACAGATCCTTAGCTGATCATACACACCACACACACATTCCATCGGAAACAATTTCCTCTCCAATTTACTCAAATCCTAAGAAATATTAGTAAAAGAAACACACTAATTTTTTTTAACTTTCCAAAGTAAAACAAGGAAGATCTTCCCTTACTTTGAATAAGTATAGCGAAATATGATAGTTAAGTAATACAATGGAAATAGAGCAGAAATCTAAGAACGATTAAGGTGTGTAATATTTCATCTTTAATGCCTTCCAACAGCAATTAACAGTGCAATTTGGCCTTTATTTTTAATGGCGCTTAATTTTAAAGTTTATATTATATTTTTATAATCTTAGAGTTAAAAAAACATATTGTTTATCCAAAGAATTTTTTAGTGTGATTAACTCAGCAGTATATTATTATTTTAGTAAGATGAATGACAGCAAAGAACACTATGTGTTAAAATACTCCATGTGATTCACTACACAAATGATTCACAGAAGAATTCAGGGAAGGTGGGTTATGATGAAAGTTTGTGTCAAAAGAAAATAGCAGGTCTCAAGACACCCAAGGAAATAGGGTAATGAAGAAAACAAAATTTGTAAAAATGGCTCTCAAACCAAAATCATTACAATAATCTAGACATCAATTTTTAATTTCAAAATTCAAAAATTTCAGACCTACTAACTCAGATTCAGGAGGTAGTGCACAAAATGTGTAATTTTTGAAACTTTCCCCCATGAGATTCTGCTAATCAGCAAGATTTTGGAACCACTGCTTTAGAATGCTAATTTGGGGATGCTCCCTCAACAGCATGATCTATTTGCCCTAAGCACAATTATGATGCTATACACAATAAATAATGAAATTATTCTCCTTACCTTGGATACATTGCTGACATAATTCATTTGAACAGTACTTTCCTTATCAACTTGATTACAAAGGTTCTGTAAAGTAGATGCATATTCTTTATCACTTTTTATTCTCAGGGCCATAAATTTCTTCACTGTTTCCAGTAACCGTAATTCCCAGTCTTGCAATTTTAGCACAGCTTCATGTGAATTCTTCAGGTCACTCCCAAACCCCATTTTGTAAGGCACTGTCTTATCCTCCACACTGCGCTGTGAGCCTTCTAATCAGCACATATCTGTGTATGTAAACAGAAGGGAAAAAAAAGTCAAAAGGAAATTTGTGTTCAAAGGAAAGTTATGGCCTATTCTTTATAGGGTAAAAAAAAAAAAATCACTACAACTGAATGCTTTCACTGAAATATCAGGAACAAGATGAGGATGTCCACTCTCTCCACTTCTACTGAACATTGTACAGGAGGTTCTAGCCATTACAATGAGATAATTGAAATAATTTCCATGGTAATTGAAAAAGAAAGAAGTGAAACTATATTTATTTGCAGAGGACATGAGATTGTATATACAAAATCCTAAAGAATGTAATAAAAAAGAAGTATTAGCATTAATAAGATCAATATACAAAAATCAATTATATTTCTATACACTAGCAATGATCAATCCGAAAATGAAATTAAAAAACAATTCCTATATATGACTGCATCGAAAAGACTAAAATATTTAGGGATAAGTTTTATAAAATAAGTTAAAAACCTGTGCTCTTGAAACTATAAAATAGCGTTGAAAGAAATTAAGGAAGACCCAAATAAATGGAAAGACTCATGTTAATGGATCCAAAAGGCTTAATATTGTTAAGAAAGCAATCCTCAGCAATATCAGAGCTAAAACTATAAAACTCTCAAAGGAAAACACAGTAGTAAATCTTTGTGACCATGGCTCAGGAAACAGTTTCTTAGATAAGACACCATAAGCAAAAGCAACAAAATTAAAATACATAAATTGAATTTAATCAAAATTTAAAACTTCTATACTTCAAAGGTCATCATTAAGAAAGTGAAAAGAGCACAGAATGGGAGAAAATATTTGCAAATACTTATTTGATAAGGAATTTCCTTCTGGAATATATAAAGAATTTTTACAACTCAATAATAAAAAGACAAATAAACCAATTAAAATGGGCAATAGAAACTTCTCCAAACAAAAGCTACAAATGTCCAATAAGCACATGAAAAGATGTTCAATATCATTAGCCATTAGGAAAATACCAATCAAAACCACAATGAGATACTGTATCACACCACTACAATGTCTTCAATCAAAAGACAGATAATATCAAGTGTTGGAGACGGTGAAGAAATTAGAACCCTCATATACTGCTGGTGGAAATGTAACATTTCCACGGCTGTTTCTCAAAGTTAAACATAGAGCTATGATATGACCCAGAAATTCCACTCTTGGGTATATATCCAAGAGGAATGAAAATATATGCCCACACAAAACTTGTACATCAATGTTCCAGCAGAATTATTCGTTAATAGTTACAGTGTGCAAATAATCCAAATATCCATCAACTACTGAATGGATAAATAAAACATGATATCTACATACAACATAATATTAGCAATGAAAAGGAAAAAAGTACTGATAGAAGCTACAATATGGATGAACCTTGTAAACATTATGCTAAGTAAAAGAAACCTAGACACAATGATCTCTTTATATGATCTCTTTATATGAAATACCCAAATTGTACAGATATAAAGTAGATTAGTAGTTGCCTGTGGCTGCAAATTTGGGAAGAAATGAGGAGTAATTGCCAGTGGATATTGGATTTCATTTTGGGGCAATGAAACTGTTCTAAAATTGATTGTGGTGGTGGTTGCACAACTCTGTGAACAAAATAAAAACCAGTGAACTATACAGTTTAAGTGGGTGAATTCTTCAGTATATGAGTTATGTCTCAATAAAGTTGCTTAAAAAATCACTACAGTATCACTTATGATCACCTAAAGGTCAGTTCTCAGAAATTTCCCCAAAATATCCTGCTTGTTTGCTATAAATCCTGAACACTATGATAGCATTTATTTTGCTCTCCAGACTCCTAAAATTTCAGGCAATGAATCTTTCAGGGTCCATTAGAAGAAATGAAGAAACACACCTCTTATTTTTAGTTCTGGCTTATCCATACCAGAAGTCACTTTCTTGTTAATTCATCTGAGATCCTCTAAGCTATAGAGAAAAATGAGAAGAGGTTTACATTTCTAACCTCAGGGGTAACATCTAAAGAGATAGTAAAAATGTGGGTTTTCCAAATAGAGAACAAATTACAATTTTTCAGAACAGAAAACTGGCCAGTTTTATGATCTATCAAATAAGTAGAGAAGAGAAAAAAGGTTGTGGAAAACTGCACTTCATCAAAGTTCCCAAAGTAGCAACCAGGACACCAAATGGACCTTAACATAATTAAGTCAATAAAAAGTAATTGACTTATTCACTTTAATATGGAGTAGGATAATTCCAGTTTTTTCACTTTGGATGTAGTAGCCTTAAAATTTTTACTTTGATACACTGTATCTTTATAGGATACAAAAATTTACAATGAACATTTTTCTGTTATTTTACCTACAGTTCATCTAAGTCTCAGTGAAGATACATTCTATCTCATCCCATGTTTTCAATGGAAAAATAAAGAATAATTTTTGAGGCCAAAGAAATGTGAAACATTTTCCTTTCATTAAAAACTATATCTGAGATTGTGGTTCATTTTATTCCATAACTTGGGATAAATATCACTTCTGCTTCTAAATATACCTATTTATACCTGATCTAAACTTTGATTTTATTTTTTTCTTCCATTACCAGGAACTTCAAAAGGATTATGAAGAGCTCAAAAGGATAAAAAAGGAAATAGAATCTGGCAGCTGTAAGAGAAACCCTCCAGCCCATCCTAAAGGTGTACTTATACACACCAGTATTCTAGGTCTAGAAATAGAAAATAATTTCATTTATGGTACCACTCCTTAAGGAATGTCAAATGATAAAAATTTTAAAAACAACCCCATAATAAATTAAGACCTTGTCTAATTGTTAAATTGGTAGAGATTATAAATACTTTAGGAATTAAGGGAATGATATCCTACAGACAAATGACATAAATAAGACTATTTGTTTCAGTAGTGTTTGAGATAACAATACAAAAGAAACCAGAAATATCCATCAAAAGGAACTGACTAGGTAAATTACAATCAAGGCTGCTGCATCTGATTGTAACTGAATAATTCTAGGCAGTGCCATTCAAATCACAGTCTATGTGAATGTGTTCAGTGTCCAACCTTCACAATCATACGTGGTAGATCTGATCGCGGTACATTCATTCAGTGGAATATCACTCAGTCCTAATAAAAAATGAGAAAATCTTTTGTGTATTGATCAGGAACTATCATTAAAAACTTCTAACTGAAAAAAGTGAGACACAGAACTTGGTATGCTTACACTGTATAAAAAAGAGGAGGAATGATAGAAATTAATTTTCCTTATAAGTACAAAAAATATTTCCTGAAGAACACATAGTGGCTGGGACACTGGAGTGGGAGAGGGACTTTTCATTATATACCCTTTTGTACATTTAAATTTTGTGCTAAGTGAATGCATTGATACTACCTATTCAAAAAATAAATTAAAGAATTTTTGAAGAGAAAAAAAAAATAATGAAAGCTAGAACAGCCCAGAAAAGTCTTCTAGAAATGGCAAGATTTGAGATTAGGGGTGGAAAATGACCATGATTTAGATTATAAAAAGTCAAAGAGGAAATGTATTCCAGGAAGTAGGAGCAGTATAGTACCAAAAAAAAAAAAAAAATGAGAGGTAATACGAGGTAAAGCAAAGAAAAAAATGTCTCCAAAATCAAGCTATATGTGGCAAGCAGTGGGAGATGCCATACGAGTTTATCTGCTATTCCACTGTTCAGGAAACTAATAAGGATCAAACTCCTTGAATTAATTGGTTTTTAAGGCAAAATAACATGATCATGAATGTGATTTTTTTAGTGACTAATTTACTGGTGCTAGTTACATAAGTATGTTCAATTTGTGAAATTTCATCAAGCTGAGCACCTGTGATTCATGTACTTTTCTATCTGTATGTTACAGCAATAAAAAGAGAAAGAGGGACATAGAGATAGATTTTAATCTGAAAGCTAGGGATAAAATAGCTTGAAGAGAGGGGAAAAAATGAGACATAAGACAAATGAATAAGTCATAGCAATATATAACTTGAAAAATGAGAATCTATAATTGACAGTATCAGTGAGAATTAAGAAAAAAGATCTTTGATGTGGTGTATAAATTTAGGGAACAAAAGAGAGACAGATGATCCAAAGACAACTTCAAGGTTTTAATAAGAAATGTTGACAATACCAATAGAATTGGAAGAATGAGAATATGGAGCTCCTTTAAAGAAAAAATAAAAGAGGTTTGGTAGAGTTATAGATGCCAGGATGAAAAAGAAGATATTCATAATACCAAATGTCAGAGGAAGATGTGAAAATTGTAAAAAAAAAAGTCATTATTGGAATTTGGGGATAAATTTGGTATAGTGAAGCAGTATCTCAGAAGCTCCTACCACCAATAACTAATAAAAAGAACAAAAAACTGTTTTTAAGAAAAAGCAAAAATTTAAATATATCATCAGTAAGTAGAGTGAATACCAACTTTATGCTACAACTTTCACAGCATGCTTTCAAAGAAAAGAAAGAGAAAATTCTGGAAATCTAGGTACTATGGCAATGTGCCCAACACTACCCCAACTTCCAGAAGACTTTCTGAGGAATCAAAGTTAACAAAATCCTGAGAATTCACACTGGATGCTTCAATATGAAAAGAAGCAGGCAGAGTGAATAGGCCAACCTAGGGACAGTCAAGAAAATACCTAAAGAGAGAAGCCTCTCAGCACCAGGACAGGACATTACAACATGCAGAGAGGGCAGGCTTGGCTTGCCATAATCCAGTCTTGTGAATAACTGGTGGATGAAATTAAATCCAGGATTACAAGATGTTTAATGGAATCTCATAAGAGAAAGTAAATCTCAGGGCCCCCAACAAGGTCAAACTCAGCCCCAGCCACCTCCATGTTCATACAACAAAGAAACCAAAATTAAAAAGTAAAACCCAGCTTCTGGTCCAGATAAGATGACACAAGACCATTTTTCCCAGCTCCATTGCACAAAACACAACTATAAACATGAGAAAGAGACTATCAAAGAAGAACTCTGAAAAGTGGATAG